ATTTAAGGACACTTGAACACAGATCTATGCATACATTTACACATAGAGGCTAGTTCATATACACATGTACACTTATGCACTGATATCATCCATTTATGCACAGGCATGCATGATGACATGCATGCACATACATTTATCCAGGCACCCGTGCCCATTTATATGGAAACATTATGTGCACAAATTCATGCATACATGTGCCCACATTTGCATGTCCTGACACATTCATATACATAAAAATGCATATGCACACTTATGCATATACACAAGCAAATATGTGCCCACATGTGCCCAGCTGTATTTGCAGACACAAGTTCATATATGTCTGCATGCACAGTGATGCTCTCTTTCAGATACCTTCTCTAGACTAGTTCTCACCTTCTCAGATTCACCTGCGCTTTCTTTAACTGTTCACAACCAACACAACCCTTAGAAAACCTTCTCATTTTGTTTCAGTAAAACATATTGAATTAAGAGGGAAGTAATCTGCTTTCACTTGTTAGACTTGGAATTTTGATAAAGTATGCCAAAGTGGAAAAAAATCAAGGGGAAAGATTTGTTTTCTAAAAGCCAAGGAGACTGCATTAGAAAAAAAAATGTGATAAAATCAACTCAGCTGATGATTCACGGTCACATTTTTCTGTCTGTTTTTTTTTAAATAATTTTTGATCTCTACATTTCCAGAATGTAAGCATCCAACAAATTATCAGATTTATCTGTTCCCTTCCTTTGCCTGTTTCCTTATAATGCATTGTTTTTCTGGTAGTCTTCCACTCCAGTGAATTTCTGCCTTTTAAAGTAGATGGGAGAAACAAGATGTCCACTCAGAGGCTACAGATAAGCACAAAGATCTTTGGGATTCAGGATCCAATTAGGTACAATAGCAGTTTGCAGGAAGGTTCACTTGCATGAACTGAAAAGCCTTTGGAAGAGTGTGCCCTCTTGTGGCTATGGAGTGCTTTTACTGAGCACAGAAGGATGTGTACCTAAATAAGCGTCTTTTATAAAGACAATTGATGAAACAATTTAAAGAGGTTTAAATGAGCAATCCTCCTCCTTTCCCCATCCTCTCCACCAAACACCTTGCTGTTAATGCCAGGGCTGGCTATCTATCTAGGAAAAAGAGACATCTGAGACTTTACTGTCAAATCAATTCATGTCTAAATTTGACATGAAATGACGCAAAAGGGTAACACTGATGTGAATAGCTATTACAAATCTCATTTATTCTTGGCATCTCTAATGACAAGCTTTGAGATTTCAATGCTTATAATTCCCCTCTCTTACCCAGTGGCTGATGTTAGCAACCCAGTCAGTGCTGATTTAGTTGCCAGTCTCAGTTATATGCACATGGCACTATCCCAGAGTTTAGTAGTTTGACTGGCTAATAAGCTATCTACTTAAAAAAATAAAGGGGTGAGTAGTCAACCGAATTTTATAAATATTGCCTAGCTCAGCAGTGGAAACTTGTGGCTATGCTTATGAAGAGCATATATGTCTTACACACTCTCTCTCTCTCTCTCTCTCTCTCTCTGTCTCTCTCTCTCTGGCTACGTCTAGACTGCACGCCTTTTTCGACAGAGGCTTTGTTGACAGATACTGCATCTAGCCTGTGATCAGTATCGTCGACAAAGCAAGCCGCTTTTTCGAAAGAGAGTGTAGACGCTCTCTTTCAAAAAAGCACAGTTTCCATGCAATACCGCCTTTTTTCAAAAGAGTACTTTCGAAAAAAGATGTTATTCCTCGTAAAATGAAGTTTACTGCTGTCGACAAAACTTACTGTCGACAGAACGCAGCAGTAGTGTAGACGCAGGTATAGTTTTGTTGACAAAAGCCAATTTTTGTCGAAAAAACCCTATAGTCTAGACACACCTTCTCTCTCTCTTTCTCTTTCTCTCTCTCTCTCTTCTCTAACACAACTTTTAAGACCTGGAAGTAAACCACAAAGTTTTGGCAAAAGGATGCTCCAGCAGTACTAATCCCACTTAGTAACTGTAATACTTGATATGCAAGTAGAAAATCATGTTCTTGTTTTACTTGTTAGAATGTCAGTATACAGTAGGGTTCTTTTGTAAACTTTTGCCCAGTACTCTTGGTCACTCATTTTACAAAGATGTGCAGTGAAAAGTACCTGCCAAAAATTCTGCTGATCTCAAGGATATGAGGACACCTGTGCTTTATGAGATCAATAGATTTACTCCCTCCCCATTCCCACCCCCACCCCTTGCCATTTAACTGTGTCCTGTACTATTTGCATTTTAGTTTCTCTATTTTATAAAACATCAGCCAGAATAGAAGGTTTGAAAAACAGACTAGAAGCACAAAGTAGTACGTGTGCAGACTTCATTTTCATTGTATATTTATGTGCAATAGCTGAAGACTATTTCACAATATCTCTTTTTTTGCCTTTGAATATAGAATAACCACAAGTCCTGAGAGGGTGATGTCTGATAGGATTATGTGTAGTCATACCCACACAAACAAAAATCTAAATTCTTACTCCTATTTTCAAAAGCTGAGATAACTTGTGTCAAATTTCCATTCATTTTCACTGACTCTCAATAGCTTCTTTTTTAGATTATGGTAGTTTCTGGTAAGAGTAGTGAGAATATTATAGGCTTTGGGAATTGCCCATGAATCTGTGTTCTATTCCAGGCTCTTCCACATACCTGAGAGAAGTTGCTTGAATTCTTTTTTTGCCTCAGTTTCCACATATGCATATGGAAAATAATACTGTTTTAGGCTTTAACCTCCCTCTTTGCAAGTAAATATGTGTCAGTGAGTTGATGTCAAGTTTAATTAAATCATTAGTGTTTATATAACACTGTGAGCTCCCTGGATTGAAAGTGTTATTGAACTGTAAAGTATTATTAATGGATCTTGAATTTATAGAGGAAAATAATTTGTTCAGCAGCAATGACTCCATCCTACAAATATCATTCCCTACTGGAAGTCAGTTTTTCCATTATAAACTTAGACTCATGTACACGACTTTTATTCAGCACATCCCTTACTCTCCTACCAACTAAAGTCCCACCAGTATGGAAAAAAGGCCCCAAACATCTCTTAGAAGATATATGCCATGGCTCCAAGAAAATGGAGAGCCTTAATACAACAAAAAATACAAGAGAATAAAATTCTACACCCTGCATTCTGTTAAAGAACTAGATACCACAAATCTTATTAAAATAATGTTGCTGTTAATATTGATCACTATGTAGATGTAAATCAAACTGCTGTGGGCATTCAGTAGTTTTTATTACGGAGATTGGCAGCTGGACTATTGGCCAATTTGTGGGCAATGGCACAGTTACTTTTGGTCATGTGACTCTGAGCCAATTGGATTAGGAGTTGCAATTCAAGGCTGTCGTGTTTAATAGGCATATATCAGATTCAGAATTCCTTTGTGTCAGGGCTCAGGAAAGACAATCGTGAGTTTACAAATGATTGGGATGCACAGGAGGAACAGAAACCACTGTTCCTTCCATATGTGTTCCATTCTGCTTAGAGAGAGAGGTGCTGAAAACCAGTTGGGGAGGGTGCCCATTAGTCTTTGCTTCTGTCCATTCCTTAAACAGGTAGAAAACCAAAGCTTCCATTGTTCACTTGCATTGAGATCTTCTACCCAGTGTTTGAAATGGAGAGCATATGAGGGCAGAGAAGCAGCACTCTTCCCAGTGAAACAATTGATAACGGCTGCATTGACAAGGACGCCAAACGCAAGGGCTTCTTATGCAGTTGGAAGCCATACAGCCGGCAGGAATGTCTGCTCTTAAAAGCATGCACACTTCTGTGCATGGCTTTCCTGCAAACAGAACATCTGAGTCAACAGGTTTTCAGGACTGGAAACTCTGAGTGTTGTCTTAATTGTTTATACTGCTTTTAAACAAAAATGCTTGGAGTTCCTGTGCATACTTTGCCTACCATATGCTGTACCAAACAAAACAGTGACATTCTTTTAAAACTGTCTTGGCAACAAGAAAAATTCTTTGGCTAGACTGAATGATAAAAAGAGTTGCTATTAGCAATTTCATACCTTTCCAGATTGGTGAGACAGCTGTAGCAAGATATAGATGATTTTATGTATATGCATATACATCTATTCTATTATACGGGTTCCGGTTCTGCTCATTTAGGGGAGAATGTCACAGCTGCTTTCTACAGGCACATGCCGAGGTTTTTTGAGCAATTAGTTTTGCAAATTCTATACACTCAAATTATACAAATTGGAGAGATCAGAATAGTTCAAAGTGAACACTGTCAAGGTTGCATTCTTTGGCAGGGAGCACTTAGAAACAGAATATTTCCTTTTTTTTTTTCCAGTGTGCAAAAGTCAGCATTAGAAATTGGATCATCTACAACTATTTGTCCTGGTTCTATTGAAGTTTCTCTGACAGTCACTGAAATGCTTTATTGCCTAGGATGCTGTGCTAATTAAACAGCAAAAATACCCTCTTGCTTGTATTAAGTTAAATATGCTCCAAGTGATGTTTTACCTAGTGGTTGTTGTTTTTTTTTTAACTAGGAAGCTTTACTTTTTAAAAATTTAAATCCTTTTCTTTTGTCAGAAACTTTCAGAGAGGTTGC